TGAGTATTGGTGTGGCCAGTGGAAACTTCGCTTTTGTATCGTCTGCCAATTGACGCAGAATACGGATAGCAAGATATGGCGCACAATAAAACCGAATTTTACTGTGTTAAAATTATAAGCAGAAATTGGGGAACGCTCTGACTCGCAAAACAAAATTCGTTGATAATCTTTATCGTCCTGACGAATGAGGGTTTGCCGATAAATTTTTTCAATGTCTCTATTGGTATATTAGCAACATGAGGTCCGGTTGGAGTGAGGGACCTGTGTGTTAAACATCAGTTAGGGATTTACCTGAGTTCCATATGGCCCAGCGGTATATATTCTTGCAACACATCGTTGTTCATTGTCTTTTACTCTAAAGCGTGCGTTCCATGAGTGAGTTTTTCTGAAAAGCCTTCGTGCGCGTACTTGGGAGTAGTTTTAAAAACTGACTTTTTGTTAGCTCGAACTGAAGCGGGTAGTTCGGCTAACGAAAAAAGAGACAAAGGATTATAGGAGGAAACGGAAAGAAAATGGAAAACCGGAAACTTGGCGCTTACGGAATTCACAATAGATTAATGTTGCGGGCTTAAACAATAAAGTGAAACAGTATCAAAAAGCTGGACTATAGATGCTGATTGTAATGCGATAAAAGTTTTACAGAATTTCGCCTATATGAGGAAGAATTGACACGAAATTCGAATGGTGACACTGAAATTGCTAATGCGAGACCTCCACCAATATATTTGCGCTCTTATTCACTTCTATCAAACTGGGCGAAGACCAACAATTTTTATACTATTCCTTTTAAAAAGGAGAAATATATTCGAGAAGAAAATCCAGGTTTATAACCAAAGCCACTTTCGAGAAGTCCTTGATTTCTTTCGGCAAACAGCAAAAATGGCCTGCGAGTTGTCAAAGAGCAAATTTAAGCTTCAGAAGACTCAAATGATGTAAAAGAAACTTTAAAAGGGCAATGTTTCAATTTTAGGGCGGTAGTAAATGTAATTAAAAGAAACAAGGAATCGCAACTAAAGTTAAAGTTTAGTTCACGGTAAGAAGAATGAAACTCATACCAGTTACAGCCTAAGAACCCCACATCACTATTCTAGCATATGTTCTCTAAATCAAGAAATACAAAAAATATAGAAATTTTGGGGGAAATCACCTGGCTAACTACAGAGGTTTCCCGGTACACAAAGATTTAAAATATTTATTTAGGGTGTTCGAGCTCAACGCGACCAACTGCCAATTACTGTTCCTATTGCGAATCGTTCAAATTTTTGCTTAAATAACCACGCTAACGCATTAAAAGTAAGGGAGCAGAATCCACACGTCATTCCTCCCAAGTCCAAAAAATTTGCGAATTCAGGCTATGCAGAGCCATGAAATCGATTTTATACTCTTACCGGAATCACACCTCACCAATTAGTATAATTTCTATACAGCACTAATCACCCAGATGATATTATTATATCATAAATGGCGTCAGCGGTAGCCGAGTGGTTAGCACTGCGCACTGCCTTTCGAATGGCTCGGTCTCAGATCCTTGCGTCGTCCTAACATCCAAAATGAAATGGAAAAAATTTATTTAAAATAAAAAATTAATTTAAATTTCCTAAATGCGGGCGCCCCTCGGCAGGGAATGTTAACGCCTCCGAGTGTATTTCTGAGATGAAAACATGAAAAACCATCAGCCGTTCGGAGGCGGCTTAGTATGAACTATAGGCCCCTCCATTTGTTGAAAAAACAACGAGACGTAAAACCACAAATTGGAGGAAGAGCTCGACCAAAAATAGCTTCAAAGGTTACCAAGCGCCAGTTATATATATCCCGTTGAAGCTATTTTTGGTCGAGCTCTATACATATATAGTGCCAAAAATAGATAGGCTTTAATCTCCCAAGACAACCAGCTTACTGGCATATTACAGGAAATTACCTGACTTGAATGACATTTCGGTCACTAAAAACATATGTAGATAGTGACTTAGTATTTGTGGAAACCTGTTCTGACTTATTTTCTGATCATTCCCCAATAATCATTAAATTGAACAACAACCAACTGAAAGTAAGCTGCCGAATATTGAAAACGAGTTACTTGTATTGAGCAATATGAAAGTGTAACAACTGTAGCTACATCAGAGCAGAGAACACAACCTTAAACCAAAACAATAATTGATAAATCCGCAATGAAGTTATTGGTCCGTAATAAGCGACGTTTGCGTCGTGAATGGAAAGCTTACCGATCCCCCAATGCAAATATCCGACTCTAGGTACGAAGAAGAAGGAAATATAAAACATTTTATAACGTCTTCATCTCCCAGTGTTTCAATTAGAACATCACTTTGGAAAGCTTGCAAAAACCTTAAGCCGCCAATAAATAATGGCCCATCGTTGGGACTACGAAGGGGTTCTTGGGCCAGAAAGGATGAAAAAAGGAGACTTAAGCGAAGATAATTATGAAAGCTAAACCAGGAAGAGACGCAACCTTGTCCTTATGATAGAAACCAATCAGTATGCTGCCTTGGTTGGTTGGTTGAAGTGGCTACTTTGCATCGGCACACCTTGGCCACAAATAGGCCTTGGCTCCGCTCTCGCTCAGACCTTCAAAGGTTGCTGCCATGATTATTCAAATAAAAGCAGCTATTGAAAAATACTCCTTCCTTCCATGAAAATGACATAACTTCTACACATCAATTTGGTTTTCGTGCAAAACATGGCACAATTGAACAAGTGAATGGCATAAAAAATGAAGTAAGAAAAGCTTTTGGATTCATTGAGTACTGCTCGGCGGTTTTTCTTGATGTAGCTCAAGCATTTGACAAAGGGACGGTTAAGCTAAAAAAGTGCCCTATCATTAAGCTTAACAATATGCCTATCGCTTGTGCTGGCTAAATCATATATCTTGGCGTTTCTTTTAGATTTTTGAAATCTAGTTATTGGGCACAGTTTGCACGACGAATATAGATATAAAACAAAGATTAAAATCGAAAAGATGCGTAATGAAATCATCCTTAGAGATCTAAATATAGCAAAACTGCACAATCATCCGAACCCTTTGGCTAAGATCTCGGCCTATGCAACATGTCAAACGCACCTGAAGCGGATTGTCTTACCACCCTTGGAAAGAACAACACAGAGCCAGAAGCCCACTTATGTCATATCTAATTTTATTTTAATTTTCAAGATTTGATTAGTTAATGTGAAGCTTTCAATGTCGAAGCAGATTCAATAAATAAATGCAAATTTTGATAAATTGTTTGTGATGTGTTCTGCCTGTCAATAGGCATCGACTCACGGCTTAAAAATGGGCTTGGTAGCGTTCTTAAGTCTAAGTTGGCGTTCACATTTACTACTGCTAGGCGGCAACCGAGTGGTTAGCATTGCTTACTGCCATTCGGAAGGTTTCTGATCAAATCTTGGTGTCGTACTAACTCCCAAAAAGTTATAGAAAATTAATTTGAATGAAATTATAAATTCCCTAAAGCTCCTAATAAAAAAATCATCAGCCCTTCGGCGAGTCTGTATCTTCGCTGCAACAAAGTAATGAAGACATGTCGTCCGTCTATTATACTGCAGACAACCATATATCGGGCCACGGCGAAGTCGATCATACTCAACTCATTAGGGGTTGTTTCGTTGCGACGGCCGAATTGTCCTACAGTCCCACCAAAGGAACCTTCTTTGCCCACATTGGCACTAAAATCGTCAACCCGATTTTCACACCGTGACGGATCAGCGTTCATGAACACGTTCCAGGCGCTCATTAAAGGCATCTTTAGTCAAATCATCCTTCTCTTCCGTAGCGTAGACATTCATCTACCGAGGTGAATGTCAGTATTTGACGACGGAGTCTTTCTCCCAAAACGAATCCGACTGCGCACCTTTATATGGCCACTGTAGTAAATGTCACAAGGGCCTACTCGTTTCCGTCCTGGTCCCGTCCATCTCGTTTAAAGGACCGGATATTCCAGGTGAATGCCTGCAAATCGTGATCCTTAATTCGTTTGCACTTCACTTATCTTAACGCTAATTTCGCGTTATAATTATCTGTAGGATTACTCTGACGGAAGTTTCAGTGGCTTGAAATCTCTCTCATTTGACCCTGGTATTGCAAACTTTCCTACTTTTCTCATCAGCCAACTTAAATTATTTTATTAATTTGTTCCTCAAAAGTAGTTCTTGATTTGGTTTCGTGTCAACAGTATAGTCTGCATTTGCTATTGCGCCGAGCTTCCGGTATATCTCACATGATGCTCCATTTTGTATTATCGGAATATCGGAAGTTGCAATATATGGAGTGCAGCCGATTGATGTACGCGGAAGTACTTTGTATCGTTTCATATTTGTCCAGAAAGCTGGCGAATAACTCTGAGGCAAACTGATTCCATTGTCCGAATGGATGAATTCGGGTACACCGAATATTTAGAATACATCCTTTATTGCCCACTTCAGTAAAAAATATTTTCATTGGCTTTAAAGCAATAAGCTTGAACTTAGTCTCTTAAATAAGGCAACAATAAAACCGATATGGATGTATGGAACACAGTTGGACACAGCTTGCACGATGAATATAGATAGATCAACTGCAATCGAAAACGTTAAGATTAATAACGGACGCTCAACGTTAACCCAGCAACCCATTCCTAATAATGGGCTTGTTGAAAATTTTATTACTTATTGTTTGGCTTCCGATGTCGAAGCAGATCCAATAAATAAACTATTGGGCTATTTTTATTTCACAAATGCAATCATAAGGGTTATTATTCTGTACCGAAGGGCTTCGACGCATATGAAAATAAATTTTCAAATATTCCTTACTATTTACTTCTAAGAAATTAAAATAAAAGATGTTCTAAAGTGTAGCGCGGTAGTACACCCTAATCTAGGAATTCATAATCAGCTAGATCAGCGCCAGATTAATCCAGACATGTAATTAACATATTTATAAGGCAGTATAGCCGTAATGATGTGTGTGCGCATTTTTAATTCAAAATGTTGACTAAGCATTACTGAAAATTGCTTTCAATATCCATTTCAGTAATAAACTGAATTGAACGAAGCTGTTATTGCAAAAGTATCTTATAAGGTGTTTAAAATGTGGCTTTTGTGTGTTATAATATTAATTGGAATTTGGTATCTTCCAATTTTATATCAACATTTTCGTAAGGTTAAAATATTAACAGATGAATCTAAAGAAAGGAATACAAAGACGTATAAGCAAGCGCCGGGACCATTTCCATGGCCAGTCTTCGGCAACTTAAACTTATTAGCATCATGCCAGACTCCTTCACAAACGTTTACGGAGCTTTCTAAGAAATTTGGAGACATATACACTTTAACGCTTGGATCCACAAAATGCCTCGTCGTAAATAACTTAGAGTTAATTAGAGAGGTACTTGCTCAAAATGGACAATTTTTTGGAGGGCGACCAAATTTCATTAGATACCACAAACTCTTCGGAGGAGACAGAAACAACTGTAAGAATTGATTAATTTAAATTGCATGCCACACATTCTTATAATTTAAGTGCATACAAGTAATACTTATCCATACATATGAATATCTCTCGCGAATCCGTTTTCCATTTCATATCTGCAGTGAAAATACAAGGAACCAGAGCGCATGCATTTTTACAGAATTTCAAAATGAGGAGAATATATTTAAAAACTTTTTAAATGCATAAGCTGGAGAAGCTCAGATATACATATATTTAATCCGAATTGGTTCGCACACTTTAAAGAAATTATAATTTATAAAAGTTTTACTTCTTAGTTATCAATAATTTGGAGTCTAGATCAGAATAATTTATTTATTTTCGGAAAATGTTATTTAAACAAATCTACTACTCTTTTCCATAACAATTTTTTAGTTTGCGAAAAAAATATACTATTGAATTGGCTATGCCTGAAAACGAAATATTTATTAGAGACAAATTTTATGTTTTTATAAAATTGACTGTGGGAACTGTGGGAAACAAAGACAATAAAGGTATCAACGTAAAAAATCGTTACCTTTTTTTTGTGCCAACTTTAATTCAATTTATTTATATATAGCTTAGCATAACATAACTCAAAGCTGCAAAAACATATATGCTTTTTGAAAAATATCCGTATTCTTATAAAATGAAAAAATATATATGAAATTAAAAAATAAATGCAGCCAGTATTCATTTATGGTGATAATAAAAAATTGTCTATTTGTTCGAAGAAATAAATATTTGTATTATATCTTTAGAAGTGGATCTAGAATTTATTCTTCGTCCCACGTCATAGGGAAATGTTAACAATAACAGGGCGAGTTTTGCAGACGTTTTCCAAAAGTGTCGTCGAAACTTCTGGCTTTTTAAAAATATTATAACGATTTGCACCCATGCTCCGACTGAAGGGAACTATATGTGACCAAATATGCATTAGCGCCTGGGCAACACTAGCAAAATTAGGCATCATGACGAAATATACCTCAATGGGCTTTGTCGTGACTCGAGATATGATTGTCTGTAGCCTCGTACAGCAAAATTCGACCGATAACAAACACAAAGAACGTTCGATGCCCAGAAGCTAACTTTTAATATGCAGATAAGAAACTGAAGAGGAAGCATATGCTAAATAAAACACACAGCTAAAGAATGTAATTATTTAACTTTAGTTATTGCTATCAGATTAAATTTGGGATATCTTTCTAACATTTTGCTCAGATACTCTTCGGGAAAAGTTGAAGGAATATTATTACATCGAGCTACCTTACATGTATCTCGCAGTATCCACACAGCTTTGCTTTCTGACCGCAAGTGTAGTTGATTTATTGATCTAGTATACTACTGGTTAGAATGTTGAATGATTTCGCCGCTTCCAAAAAAACTATTATATTTTCAGCAGAGAGGCACATGATTTATCGAGTGAATATTTAACATAATTGAACGACAAAACAAGGATGGTATTTTTCTATTATGGAATTGTATAAGGGCTGTTAGCTCCGAGTTAGTAGCCGAGTGGTTGGCATTTCGTACTCTTACATCTTGTATTATTGGCTTTCCAAAATACTGTTCATACTGCAATATAATTTATGAACTTCAAAATATGAATAAGAAAACAAGAATCAAATAGAATTTTCACATGAACCACGGACAAAACGAAAACTTTCAAATGGACCCGAAAACAACGAACTTGAGAAAAATGTACATATGTGAAACACAAAAAAATCATATATGTCCAAAAGCAACATATTCACTTCTGAAACATCGATATTTTGAAGAACAATCAGAGCAGACTTTTTTAAATAAGTTCTAGTAAGTCAAGAATATCAGTCGTCCATAGCAAATGTTCGCAGTTGCCTTCTGTCTTACATATAACGTGCCTGAGTTCTAGGATTTTAAAAAATATGTGCTCGAAAATAAAATGCAATGAAATAGTTTTTTTTTCTGAAATTTATATCTCATTTAAAAATTTGAACAATGCCATAAAGGAGACACTACATAATTCAAATGACCGCATCGACGTTGGAGGTAATTTTCGACTACTTAAAATAAAGACGGCCTTTAAAGTAACCCCAGCGTTTTAATCCAACGGTGTAAAATTTGCACAATCTCAGTTGCTAATTGTCATCACCAAACCGAGAGATTACATGGCCGGGAAATTTCTCTGGCACAAAGCCATATTCGCTAGTGTGGGGTTTCATGTTGCACCATCTTGTTGAAACCACATAAAGTTCAAGTCGTGTTCTTTAATTGCAGGCACAAAAAATCTGTGTCGTACCTTATTATTTTTTACTTTTTTCAATTTCTTTTTTAGTTTACATTCTTTTTTTTTTAATTTTTGTTTGATTAGTGTAATTTTGTATTTCAAAAGAATCAAGTTTAATATAAAGTTTATAGCTATTAAAGTTGTCGAGCTATTGCTACCGACCCACATTTTCGTTATGTAAATTTGTTGCTGTTGTTTTTGTCACGTATTGGCAAGAAAAGAAAAGAATCCGTAAACAGCTTGAAAAAGAAGTTCAACTTCGATTCCCTAAAACAAAGAATATCTTCGCCATTGTGCCGTGTGAAGTGTAACGAAAATATAATCGAGAAACTATTTTGAAAATTATTGATGTTATTAATCCACCTCCATTCATTTTTTAATAAATACAAAATAATTAAGAAAGTTATTCGTGAGAAATTTTCTCTTAGTGAAAAAAATATGTAGATTGGAGCAACTTCTTTCACATACTCAACTTGGTGATATTAAATCGTTAACTAGCTCGGAATTTATTTTTAATTATGAATAACTACTTAATGGGGGGAACTGGTCTAGAGCGCAAAAAAAGGGCATATTTTATGAATTTATTTTGTTCAACAAAGGAATCAATCCTAAATATGTGAAATAGGTTTAATACAATAATATAAAAAATTTTCGGGTGAATTAATTTCAAAATCTCCGCTGTCCAGCATTTCTGGGAAGACGCATATTTTTCTAATGGGTCCTTAGCCGAACATGTAAACTCCTTAATTTCTGTCCTGGATCAAAAAATAATTTTTTTTAGTTTCTTTAGTATTTTGTTTTTTTTTCGTGAAATGGGGCACGTTTGAACAAAAAGTTGCAATTTTACTATAAAAACGATGCAAAATTAAAAAAAAAACTAAGTAATATAAAAAAAATCCTACGTACGTTTTCGGAGAACGGTATTTCGAATGTACTGTCAAAATTTCGTGAGAATCGGTGAAGATTTGTTCGAGTTATGTCTTCGGCCAGTTTAAAAAAATTAATTACGAGAAAAACGCGTTTAAAGTTGTAAGTATGCTCAGGGCAATGGTTCGAATGGCATTTAGGCATTTTTGCCGGCATCCATCTTTTGGTATGTTATTTAAGACAAAAATTTTTTTTTTTTTAAATTCAAGACCAAGGGGGAACCCTTAAATGAGTTTAACTCCATCTACTAATCAGAATCAAGATGAAATTATTATTTTTTGCTGATAAAATTTTGGATTTCAATAATAAACCTCAAGTTTCTTCAATTCTTTATATTTTTAATACAAATTATAACATTTAATAAAAATTTATTAAAAACTTAACTAGTTTAAATACCGAAATTTATCAAAGTTTAAGTAAAACTACTACATATATTAACGAATTAGCTAGATCTCTCGATTTAGAGATAGAAATCGTTCTTTTTAATCACACATAAATATTTAAAACACTATACAAATACTCAAGTTCGTAATTGGTTCGGTTATACCATCTCAAAAATTTAAACCATTTAAAATAAATAACTATCTTAAGCTTCCAGCAGCAAACGGATCTAATAGATAAACATCTGGAACAAAATTTTTGAATACTAGGTTTAGGTCAACTCCAATTATTTAGTAGATATCAAAAATAAAGAAATAAAAATATTTAGAAGATATCAAAATTAAAGAAATAAAAATAAATTTAAAAATTCGAGATCTAAAGGTTTTTGTTACATTTTCTACTTTATACTCCTTATATCGAAAAAAAATCTACAAATTATAAAATGAGTTTCCATAAATTACTTGTGAACTAAGCAAGTGTAACACCATACAGTTCACAGAATTAAACAAAATGGATTCTTCCACTTTTTTAACCTCGCGGTCTAGTTCACAAAAAAAAACATTGGAAACCATGTGGGGATTGTAGATGATATTCATATATAAAACAGCATAACCCCCCTTTCAGAATGTTTAAATTTGTTCGCTTGCCTTGAGCTAAGAAACAGTGGTCAAACATTTCAACGATATACGTTCATGATATTCTTGTAGACCGCGACATGTGAAGATCATCATATTGAACATTTAAAATCTAGCAAATAACTACATCGAAAACTTTCAAAGTTGGAGTATTTTTATCCATCCGGTACACACGACCTACCCAACGGAGCGCTGTTTCTTGGTTTGCTGAACTATGTCAGTGTCGCCATATATTTCATAAAGCTCATCATTCTCCGACTGCGGTATTCGCCTTTGCCAACTCGAAAATGACCGCTAATCTTACAGAAACCTTTTTTCTCGAAAACTCCGCTTAACACAGAAGGACATGAATAATGGTCAACTTGTCAATTTTTTCATTCCTTTTGTCCATATAAGCACCTGTGGACATTTTTGAATCGTCGCTGGATTTCAAGGCTAACGTTGTTGTTGATATTAATACTGGATTCAATATAAACGAACTTATCTACGACTTCGAAGTTATGACTGTTAACATTGGGGGGGAATGTGATGACTGTTTGTTTGACGAGAAGAGATATTTCGTCTTGCCCTAGTACTTTCTCAATTCAGTTCTGCAGCTCTTTTGATTTTCTCCAGCCTCAAATTAAAGAAGCCGCAGTATGAGAAATCAGCCGGACTAAAACATCGTTTGGTATTGAACGGATCGGAGAGGTCGAATCGAGAGTTCCGTGAACATATCGGCAATCCTACTAAAGAAAATTTCGTGATGCCTAAATCGTAAAAAATTATTGAGATGACGAATCGTAATTATTTCAA